TCTACCTCAAAATCTGCAGGAATTTTCCAACCTGGAGCTGGCAACCTGGATTCCACCCTCAAAGGCCAAAATAGGCCTGGAAAGGGCCCTGCCCTCTCCCCCTGTCATTTTACTCACAGAAACCCTGCTTGGAATCTGTGGTTGCATAGCAACAGCCATTGAGGGAATCTGTTGCTTAAAGCAACAGGTACTCCTCTTATCATTTTTGGATTTTTTTAACTTGCCCAATATATATATTTTTAAAGATTTCACATTGTTCTGCAAACCTAAGTTCCTTTTCAGGTTTATAGAAAGATTTGTCGTGCCTGTTCACAGCCCCAGTCACTGATTTAAGTATCCAAAGATATCCTGATTTTACTATTAGAATTAGGGATGGGCATGAACCACCCTCCCCCAAGAATTAGGGATAGGCATGAACCAATTTGGTGTCATGGCTGAGCCATGAATTGAACCACGAACCCATACGAATTAGGAGGGTGGTTCGCGAACTGACATGGTTTGTATCAGTTCATGAGCCATTTAAAGTTTAAACCCCTGCTTTCTGTTCCCTGTGATATTTTGTTTTGCAGTGGGAAGCTCCCCTGCTTTCTGCTCTTCATGAACCACCATGAACTGTAACAAAATACATGGAATTTCATGGCAGTTCTTCAGTTTGTGAATATCACTTCATAAACCATGAACCAGCCAAAATTTATGACAAACTTTAGTTCATCAGCGAGTTAGTGCTCATCCCTAATTAGAATAAAAGATGTTAAAAGTAAGCCACTCTAAATGGGACTTTAAAAATAGTATCAAAAAGAATATTGCTCCGGAAACGAAAAAGCCACTGCTTTTTCCTAGTTTTACCATCACCTTTAAGGGCCAATAATCCAATTCAGACTTTATCTCCATAAAATTAATGGGTCTAGGAAAGCTTAACTCTGTGCTGTATTGTGTGGCCCTTGTGTTCTAATGCAAAACAAGCATCAGGGTTTGGTTAGACTAAAAGTCTTGCAGAGTAACCTGCAGCTTGACTAAGGAGGGTAGCCATTCTTATTGTGATGGGTAAAATAAAATGACCTATGCCTGTGTTTTGTCTCTGTTTCAGAATCCCATGTTACAATGCATTTTTTACAAGACAGTATGTTTTACTAGAAAGTTATTGACTAGCTATTCTTCTGAGTCTTTATGGAACACCTTTGCTTATCTGTTTCATTTAAATCTAAATACGCGGTAAATCAGTAAACAAAATATTTCACTATTTCTCCATTTGAAAGCTAATTTGAGTGGAAGTTGAAAGCAATTTTTGTCTGTGTTTAGGATACACATATAATGTTTTCTAAAAATGTACATATCACTGATGGGGGGGAGAAATCTCTATTATGCCTTGAAGTTATAGATTCTTCTTGAAGAACATACAGTCCACTTCCCCCATGCAGCTTCTAAAATTTGGAAACTGGAAATTGATTAAGAAAACTGTGAAGGAAAAGTTATATACTAAATAGGGTTGCCATCTTCCAGGTGATAGGTTGAGATTTCCTAGGATTACAACTGATCACCAGCCAATAGAGACCAGTCCACATGGAGAAAATGGCCGTTCTGTAAGGAGGACTCTGTGACATTAGACCCCACTGGAATCTTTCTCCTGCCCAAGCACCGTCTTCCTCAAGCACCACCCCCAAAACCTTCAGGTATTTCCCAGCCCAGAGCTGGCAACCCTAGACAGGAGAGAAATAAAAATCCAAAACCCGTTAAAGACAGCAGCAAAATTCAGAAGTTTTTTTTAAAAGATATTTAACCAAGACCATTACTAAAAGAATTTCCACTATTTCTTTTCTCTGTCTTTAGATAGTTATTATTATAAAAATATATTTAATATATGTTTATATTGTGTTATTTTCTCTATCCTTTTCTATTGAAAATATATTTTCCACAGAGTGATAAATCCAGACACAAAGTTCTTTGTATACTGTAACTAGATTGATGTAAACGCTACATGCATTTTTCCCAGACACACTAATGGGAATGCACATGTGTGCACTTATGAGAAATGGCATGTCTAAACAATTCTAATAATAACTTATCTGATAGATGTAAACGCTACATGCATATGCACATCACTCCCAAACACATTTACTTGGAAGTAAGGCCCAGCTCATGAAGCACCTTCAAATATTGCCAGATAACAGCAGCCGCCAGCTAAATTCACAGCCACTTTTGGATTAAGCTGGTGGCACTTCTTGTGATGTTCGAAGTGGAACTTGCACATGCTACAGCAGTAGACAAATCCATCCATTCATTCAGTATAGCACCTTTCTCCCCAGTGGGGAAAAAAAGCAGCTTACACCATTCTCCTGTATTCCATTTTATCCTCACAACAATCCTGTGAGGTAGGGAAGGCTGAGCATGTGTCACTGGCCCAAGGTCACCCAGCAAGCCTCTATGGCAGAGTGGGATTCGAACCTGGTTTTCCCATATCCTAGTCCAACACTATAACCACTACACTACACTGTTAGGACCACCCCACAAGTTCTTGTTGAACATCAAGTAAGTACCATTAGCTGAAAGCATATTTGGCAAGGTGTCATTACAGCTATATTTAACTGCAAAAAAGGGATCACTTTTAAGCACATTTGTTGTGTTACTGAGTTACACTTTATATACCTAAATAACTCTCATAATATTACCAGCACAGGTTGAAATGTTACATTTTTGTCAGTGAAGCAAAGAGAGTTCATGTCTCTGTAATGTATCTTCCAGCATTTGGGTTACTGGCACTTCAGTAATATCCTACAACAATCTCCCAAACAAGCAGCCATTTGGTAAACCACTCCAAACCAGCCCCATTTAGTAAGTCACCCATGTGCCCGTGCTTGCTCTGCATATCCAGTGGTGGCTATCACAGGGCTTCTTGTTGTATGAATTTGTCTTCAGTCCTAGCATTTCAATGGACAGCCAAAAAATTACTGACAAAGCTATCACATTGGCATAAGCAAAGCTCTGGAAAGGTGGGAAAGCTAAACCAAAAAAAGAAAAATTCTTTTACACAGGAGGCTGAACTTTTAGAAATTACAGCTTGTATGGCTGCTTTCCCATATGAGATAAGGTCAACACCCCCCAAAACTTTGAAATGTGCATTTGTCATAAACAATTTTCAGCTACATGAAGCAAAACAGGTCCTGTGGCTGAGACCCAACATGCAGAATGAGAGTGCTTGCATGCACAAAGTTAACTTCGGTGTTGAAATTAATTCTAAACTTGCAAAAGACATACAAAAATATTAACACCCATTAAATGTTTGGGGAAAGGTGTGGTGCTAAGAGTGTTAAGAAGTTAAATGAAAGTGTAGTCTGACACAGCCATTTACACTGAAAGCATGGTTATACTTCTGTAATAAGCCAACAGTTACTGTTTGCTGAAACAAAACAAGAGGGTCAGCCTTCCAAGACCTTCTTCCTCTGTCTGTTGGTTACATACAAGATGCCCTTTTCAGAATCTCTAAATGGTAAATTAAGCAACAGATTCTTGCAACTTTCTTCTTAAATCACCCATATCTACCTTTTAAGTTTAAATGAGAAATGCTCAAGTATAGTGTTCCTTCACATCAACTGTATTAACGCATTGTGCTGTCTGTCTCTACATGTGACATATGTGTGATTATGCATGGCTTTCAGAGCATGCAGATGTGCTCATTTCTAGTACACAGCAGCACATATCCCATGCAGAGTTTGGAAGATATAGTCCAATAGAAGTACAGATATTTGTAGAGCATTTTCTTTATTATATGGCTATTAAAGATTATAGCTGGAAGGACTAACTTATCTAGGGTGGCCGAGATAATGAACACCACCCAACTGACTACTCTGATTCCTGTATTTTGTTTGGTTTATTTCTCTAAGGGATGGCATTTTTGTATACTGCTATTTCCTTTCTCTGCCAGAACCTAGTACTTTGTACTGATCAAGTTACCTCAGTGCCATTGGCTTTGAATGGATAATAACATGACTTTATGCAAATACAGAGTGACACTATCACTAGACTGCTCTCCCATTTGTACTGATTGAAAATCTTGACAAACAAAGCAGGGGAAAACTGGAAATATTCCTACAACACTGGAAAAAAATGAAATAAAGTAGACATTTGGGGAAATGCCAGTTTGTTTTCAAATAAATAAAATGGCTGGCCTACAGAAATATGCCGTAATAAAACTCCTACATTCAGTAAATAATTTCCTTGTTCACAAGTAGCAAATGCTTGTGGTTTTGCAGCATAAGTATCAAATGTGACTGTCTGCATAGCTGCATTGTACAGAATAGCTAACAACTATCATGTATTGCATGTTGCTTAAAACAGCTTTTCCAGGGATATTTCAGTATACAAAAAAGGCAAATAGAAATATTTAAAACTGAAAAAATTAAATTAGCCAATTATTATATTAATTTTGCAAGTTACTCCAAACCATAAAAGACAAAAAAGGCCCCTAGATGGCCAAGCAAATATATCTAAACACAGAGTATCACAAAAATGTGGTAGCCCATCATTCTCTCTAATGGTTCACTTTAGTCTGTGCACACACAAGTATTCACTGTAAGCTGTAATTGGTCCTTGTAGCCAAGAATTTTAAAACCTTCCATACCAGCAATTCAGTTATTACAAAGTAAATGTAACAATACAATCCATACATTTGTAATTTCGTTAACAATAAAATAAATATTTATGTCAAACTCCTTCTTTCTTGATTGCACACTTTATATTGGAAGCTAAAAGGTCACAAAACATGAAAAGAAATGCCAATTAATTTTGTTTTACTCTAACAGCAAACTTTAATATATCAGGAAGGTAGCCACTCCAAGCCAAGGAGGCTTTGAACTTCCAAAGAAATCAGTGAAAGCTTTTCAGATACTTTACTGTTATACAGAGCTGTACATCCACGCCGAGCTATTCACCAGTGTGCAGCAACAGTCTTCCAGTGGGCCAGGATGTTCTTGGCAGTTAACTGAGGGAGAAACTATGGAGTGAGGTTAAAAATTCCAAGCTGGAAGTAGTAACATAAACATTATGTGTTTCCTGTATGAAGGAGGTTGCAGTTCTTGAAGCTGGGAAGAGCAGAAAGAAGGAATGAGTGTCTTTCATTTTATAAATGCTGAGGCACAAAACACAGTCGCTTCTAGAATTTTCATACATGAAATCCTTTTTCTTGTATGTGCATCATGTGTAATCGCAGAGTCTGTAAACTGCTTACTATTCGTCTCTGGTGTCCAATAAGTACAACACCAATTCTTCTAATGTCACTGTAATAAAAAAGGGAAAAAAAGAAGTAGTAGTAGTTTAGAAATCATTCTTGCAGCAGTAGGAACAGTACATCATAAACATATAAATTAAATTATTTCATGCTTCTTATCCATAACCTGAAAAGCTTAGAAATATTTTGGAAGGATACTTGAAATGGTTAAGAACAAAGGTGCATTGCCAACAGAGAAAATGAACACAGCAAAAAAACCCATGGAGAATCCAACTGAACAGCCACATGATTTGACCAACCACATTTTTGTGAATTGTGCCTGCAACTTCACATGGCATAAATGAAGAAGTAACCAGAGTACCATGGGTATAAAGGAAGTTCTAGAACAGACAAATAATTAAACACTTGCATTGTTGATTGGAGTGCCACAAATGGCAAAACCACTATATATGAACCTTATGGCTTTCTTTCTCTCCTTCCCTCTCTCCAAACAGAAAGAGTGGGAAAACTGCATGGGAGAACATAGTGATTTTATTCATAGTTTCTGTCCATGTGGGAGTTTCACCCACTTCCCAGGTAATAACCAGTCCTGGTATTATTCATTTTTAAGAAAATCCATCTGTGGCCCTTGAATAGATTAGGAGAATAGATGTTTACCTTTGTTCATAGATGTTTACCATAGAGCTTTTCTCCAAATTTGCTCATAAACTCATTAAGGAACAAAACAACAACAATAGGCAACTAATGATGTATGATCTGCTATCACTCCATCCCAATACATTTCAGGGTTGTTATAATGAAAACTATGTTTTAAAAATACTTTTCCAATTGACTCATATGGAATGGGCTTAAGAAACTGCTGCCAACAGAAGTATGGGTTTTGGATAGATAGAATAAAATTTTATGACTTATTGGATTTCCATGTTCCTAAGAAAGTCTGAAGAAATATCTCTTATTTCAAAAGTGGGGAAGGCACTCCAACAGGTCTTTTTCAATGGCAATGTAAGAATGGACTTACTCAATACTCATTCTTAAAACAAGATCCATAGTTGTATACCCTGCTGCCATGAAGTTAGTTTTGTATTGGCCCATTTTTATTGAGTCCAGCCAGTCACTGACTGACACAAAGAAAGGGTATTCGGGGACTTCACCAGGTGAATCTGGCATTCTATAGGGGGGAAATGAAAATGAAAAACATATAAATGCAGAGATCAGAACTTAGCCTTAGTTTTCTGAAGACATATTTGTAGTACAGAATAAAAATGTATCAGATGAAAAAAGCAGAGAAGGTTAGATTGTAACCTCACTGGACTGGATCCTATGAACCTCAAGCTCAAGGCATTAATGGAAGCAGATCTTTCCCACCTTCCTACAGCATCCCCTTGTGATCCCAAAAAAGGCCTCGTGAACAAAAGGGCATGCAACATAGGTGGCTGCAGTAAGGAGGGAGAAACAGACAAAACAGTCTATTTCTGCCTTTCCTGCCAGTGTCTTTTCTACTGGTGGAAGGACTTAGAATCATAGAATCACAGAGTTGGAAGGGGCCATACAAGCCATCTAGTCCAACCCCCTGCTCCATGCAGGATCAGCCTAGAGCATCCCTGACAAGTGTTTGTCCAGCTGCAGCTTAAAGACTGCCGGTGAGGGGGAGCTCAACATCTCCTTAGACCGCCAATTCCTCTGTTGCTCTTACTGAAAATCCCCCCCCAAAATATCTAGCCGGTACCTTCCCACCCTTAATTTAAACCCATTATTGTGACTCCTATCCTCTGCTGTCAACAGGAACAGTTTCCTGCCCTCCTCTAAGTGACAGCCCTTCAAATATTTAAAGAGAGCGATCATGTCTGCCCTCAACCTCTTCTTCTCCGGAGTAAACATTCCCAAGTCCCTCAGCCCTTCCTCATAGGGCTTGGTCTCCAGGCCTCTGATCATCCTTGTTGCTTTCCTCTCCACCTGCCCTATTCTGTCCACATCCTTTTTGAAGTGAGGCCTCCAGAACTGCACACAATACTCCATGAGCGGCCTGACCAATGCAGTGTACAGCAGGACTATGACTTCTTATGATTTGGGTATTATGCCTCTGTTGATACACCCCAAGATCGCATTAGCCTTTTTGTTGCTGCATCACACTGGCTGCTCATATTTAGCTTCCGGTCCACCTATACTCCAAGATCTTGTTCACATATACTGCTACCCAGAAGTGTACTCCCCCATGCAGTATGCTCATTCTTCATTTTTGTTCCCCAGATGTAGAACTTGGCACCTATCCTTGTTAAATTGCATCTTGTTCACATCCACCCATTTTTCCAGTGTGTTCAGATCTCGTTGAATTCTATCTCTGTCTTCTGGTGTGTTTGCTGCTCCTCCCAGTTTGGTGTCATCTGCAAATTTAATGAGTAGCCCCTCCACACCCTCATCCAGATAATTTATAAAAATATTGAAAAGTACCGGGCCCAGAACTGGACACTTCCCTCCATTCAGATGAAATGCCATTGACAACTACTCTCTGAGTGTGTTTCTCCTGATAGTGACTTCTGATGGCAGAAGAGAGAACGCAAGAGTAATTATGTCCATTTCAGTCTTCTTCTTTCTGTATAACACTATTTATTTTTTGTCTACAGTGTATCCCTGACAACTCACAAAGCCTTTTTGAGGGTTACAGGCTGCTGTAGGAAGGAAAAGGTCCATTTGCATGTCATAGAACCTGACACATAGCTATATTTACAACTAGGATTTGTTTTTTTCTGGAATAAATCAACCATAATTTTAATATAAAGAACAATTTTAAGCTTCAGGTTTGTTTTTTTAAAGAGGCCTTACTAGAATAAGAGTAAAACTTTCTACTTGTAAATAATTCAGAGATGGACCTCTCTTGAGTTTTAATCCTTCATACAATTTTGTACATGTAACCCCAACAGAAATAAAAAATATGTATATGCATATATTGATCAACTGCTAGATAGCTACTAGAAATGTGGTTCCACTATGCATTTTTAGGATAAACAGGGTGACACAGAATTATACATTTTCTTTAGTCAATAGATGACAAAGAAGGGAAGTATTCATTCTGAATATCAGTGGCTCTCTGTTTGCTTCTTCTTTCCTGTAACTTATTCCTTATTACTTGTATTATGCAGCTTGGTGTCCCCTGCTTTTTGTTATTACACATATACAATCAAAAGGTAACTTCCTGCCAATGTTTTAGCCAAATCCTGTGTTTTAGCTGCTGGAGGAAATTCATGGTGGCCACGTCTATCATCCCAGCAGCACAATATCTAGCTGCCAGGATAACACTGTGCTATCTGCTGGCACTTATCCTGATGGTTATAAAAAAGCATGTTAAGGCAAGTCTTACACAAGTATATCCTCCACTAGTGTATGAAGAGAGCTGGGGTTGCGTATCAATTTGTCTAGGAAGCTGACAATGTCTGTGAACTTTGGCCGGTGGTTTCTTTCTTTTTGCCAGCAATGAAGCATTAGTTGGTGAAGAGAAGCAGGGCAGCCCATGGGAGCTGGAAGCCTGTAACCTTCTTCTATGGACAGAATCACCTATAATAATACAAAAACTCAGAGTGAGGCAAGATGATGTGGTTTTACATTTCCGTATGCAAACTAAAACCAAGCACACAAAATCAATGGATAAAGACCTGAAGTGACATGGAACCCATTAAGACAAATGATCTAAAACAGGGCCTGATGTCACAGATTCTTTTAGATAAAATATATTTCCTTGTATAAAGCTTCATCTTACATGATATATGAGGACTGTAAGGTCCCTGAATACTAATCATATGGTGTAAAACAGAATTATAATACAGATTATTCTTAAACATTTCTCTTGATTGCAATGGAACTTACTTCCAAGTAGGCTTAATTAGCTCCAGAACCTAAGCCTGCCATCTTAGAACAATTTGCACTGGAACAATACGATTTCAATGATAATCCCTCCAAAGCTACTTCAGTGACATGTCTGAATCCACCTGTACACCTAAAATGCAGATTGCATCAGTCTACTGCTGCATTGGGATAAATATGTAATAATATCTGAGAATCCACATATATTAGTATATTGGTAGATACTGAATAGGGGCTGCGGTGGCTCAAGTGGTTAAGATGCTGAACTGCAGACCGTGAGGTCAGTATTTCAGCAGTTCGAGACCCAAGTGCTGCATGATGGAGTGAGCTCCTGTCTCTGGTCCCAGGCTCCTGCCAACCTAGCAGTTCGAAAGCAAGACATTGCAAGTAGATAAATAGGTACCACTTCGGTGGGAAGGTAACAGCGTTCCATGTGCCTTGGCATCTAGTCATGCCGGCCACAAAGACGGAAACGTCTTTGGACAGCGCTGGCTCTTCGGCTTTGAAACGGAGATGAGCACCACAACCCTAGAGTCGGATTCGACTGGCTTTCGAGCAAAGGAAACCTTTACCTTTACTAGATACTGAATGTTCTCCCCCATTAAGCTGGATTCTGCAAATGAATTTGATTCACTCAGTTGGGATTCTATAGTACATTTAAAACAACGCCAACATTTAGTAGGTCCCAGCAGCCCTGAAGCTGAGCCAAATGAGTAGACTGTTTACTACTTAATGAATATCACAGTTATTGTCACAAGAAGTCATGACTCCCTGTGAAGTCTGTATTTTGGACAGGTTCAAGTTCTGTTCTTTGAGCTGTGGCTAATCAGTAAAGAATGTTGGTTATGGAATTCAAAGAAAATCCAGGGAATTTTTTTTAGTGATCTAATATCATAGTTATCTTAGTTTTCCTTCCAAATTAGAAAAATCAGTGTTGAGTTCCACATGTGCTGGTTATACTCCATTCAATATTCCTTTCATTCTGTTGAATAATTTATCCAAGTTCTGTGATGGAGAACTCCCTTTTGGTTGCATTTTGATAAATTTACAATCTATATGTAAAAGTGATTTCAAAATGCCACAAGAGCCTGCTGACTTCATCACATTTTAAGAAATAGCACAGTGCCTTTGGGAGACTGCCCTGGATATGTGGTCTCTTGAAATCCCCAATACTTTTCTTTCCAGGCTAAGATGGGCTAACCAATTACAAAACAAGAACACTTTTTGGGTTAAATGTTTTAGCTCGGTATAATTTTGTAGCTCAAAACCATCTGTCATGTCCTGAACTGTTATGGGCTTTAGAGGAATGGTATTTGTGACACCGTTTGTCAGGGGTCTTGTTGTAGAAAAAGAGCTGCCGGAGCTCATTAGCATAACTCATTAGCATAACTTATTTGCATATGCCACGCCCCCTGACATCACCAGAAGTGACAGAAGGCCACACCCCCTGACATCACCGGAAGTGTGTCAGAAGGCCCGGCTACTTACCCTCCTGCTTCATCCTCATTCCCAAACGACCAATTACAAAACAAGAACACTTTTTGGATTAAATGTTATAGCTCGGTATAATTTTGTAGCTCAAGACCATCTGATGTCCTGAACTGTTATGGGCTTTAGAGAAATGGTATTTGTGACACCGTTTGTAGAGTAATGTGATACAGCATGGGGAGACTCTACTTGGACACCAAGATCATTGGCTAACTTTCGGACATTCACTCTCATTTTAACCTGATTTACAAGAATAGTTGGACGGAGTGAAAAAATTATGTACACCATTCTAAATTCCTTGGAGGATGGCTCTTTCCTTTCCAGGAGGTTTGCTATGATCTCCTGGCAGTTGAATAAAAATTTGCTGTAAAATCCAGAGGAAGGAATTACCCACAAAAGTGGGTAATTGAGATCCCTCTCGTGAGTGACACTGTTCCTGAAGAATTCCTTCATATTAACAGAATTATGTATTTTTCACCTGAAGCTACTAGTTTCTACTGAAAGTTCAATAGCCTAGCTAATATTTATTAATTAAGCATTAGGATATAAAAGCTGTGCAATTAATGGAGATATCTAGTGCCTGCCACACACTGTAAGAGAACATTAATCAGCACAACCACAAGTTTGAATGAATACAATAAAACAGTTATCTGCTTCATCAAGTAACACTTCTTATACTAGAGTAATAAAATGAATATTAAAAAATCAGTCAAGTAAAATGTAAGCTCTGTATTTCCAAGGAACAGTGAGTTGAATGTAATATGAAATCCACGCTCATATGGGTTTGGCTTCCCAGTTTTATGTTTCTGAGACCTAGAATTCATACTGAATCCACGAATCTTTTTCAACACAGGGAGGACCAAGAGAAAATTTAATGTGCATCCTCAGATGCCATAAGAAAGCCCATAAGGAGGACCAGTAGACATTAGCTTTCTCCTGCTGACTACTGCTCAGCAGCTGCAGCTGAAATTGAAGCTCCATTTGGATATCGTAGGCTCCGGTCACATGGGCAGGAAACTGCAGGGGGGAAGCGTGGCTGTTTGTTCCGGGGCAAACTAACGCGCAGTTAAGCGATCAGACCTCCTGTGGAGGTTCTGTGGAGGTACCGTGGAGGTTCCGTGGGTAGGGAGAGGTGCTGATCACAGGACATGCCTGCGCGCAATGAAGAAGCGCGCGGTGCGGCAAACTGGTTTTCTTTTTTTGTGTACACGATGAATGCGCATGTGCCGTTGGGTGCGTGTGCGCATCCATGGAGACTTGGGGGGAAAAACACCTTTTTCGCAAGGGGACATGGGCGGGCGCTGGATGCCACCGGAAACACGATCAGACGCCCGCCCTTGCCCCGCGGTTTCCGGAAACTAGTACCTCCGAGGTACTAGTTTTTTGCTGCGTGTTTTCGGCAGGAAGCCTTGGTTGTGCCATGGAAGCGCTACACTTCCCAGATGTGCTGGTGAGATCGCGCCCGGAAAATCCGCCTGTCTTCCGTCTCTCTTGTATGGTTAATGTTCCGTGTGACCGCAGCCAATGTTAAAAAGCTAATAATATATCTATTCACAGATCTGTCCAACCTTTTAAAAATCCAATTAAGCCTGTGGTCATCACCACGGCTTGTGGCAGTGAGTTCCACCAAGTCCAACTACCTATAGTGCGAAGCAGTATTTCCTTTTGCCTGTCTTGATTCTACTACAACAATTTCATGACCCCAAATTCTAACATTGTGGGAAGAGGAGAAAAGTCTCTGTATCTACTTTCTGTAAACCATAATCTTGTAGCCTTCTATCATGTCTCTTTCACGTTCCCTTTCTTGTAAACTAACAAGTCCCTTCATATGATGTACACTCCAACCCTGTGATCATTTTAGTTGTATTTTCCTGGACTTTCTCTAGTTTTTTAAAAATACTTAATCCTTTTTGAGATGCAGCAACCAGAACTGCATACACTGACACAAATGTGGCCGTAGCAGAGGTGCTCCTACAATAGTCTGTTTAAGAACATGCAATGCATTGTGGGTTGCACTGCTCCCACTTCCAAGCACTTCCATATTATTTTCCTATAGAACAATGAAATCCAAATGACAGATCGTGGAGGTGTTACCCACCAGGCTATGACTAGTAAGTGCTCAAGACAATGGAACATGACAGCTGATGGTCCATAATAGAAACATAATACAACTTGTGGATCCACCTGGCACAGGTTATTCCTGATTATATGCAGGTATGTAGCTCTCAACACAGAGACACACATACTTCAGCAAAACCGGCTAAAGTAATTGATCTGGTGTAGCGTTAAAAAATCCTGTCAACAGTACAATTAGAAAAAAAATGCTACAGTATTTGCCAATGCAAATATCGTGTGTGTGTGTGTGTGTGTATGCCACATTCAGAGACAGCAGCTACGTTAAATAAATGCAAGTAGGCATGAATATCTGCATCAGAAATCAAGGTCCAAGAAGGTAAAGCAACTAGCAAAGACAACAGTACAAATACTAATTGCATTTTTATCCAGTTTGGTGTAGTGGTTAAGAGCGGTGGACTCTAAGCTGGAGAACCGAGTTTGATTCCCCACTCCTCCACATGCAGCTGCTGGGTGACCTTAGGCCAGTCACAAGTTCTCTCAGAGCTGTTCTCTCAAAAGCAGTTCTCGAAAGAGCTCTCTCAGCCCCACCTACCTCACAGGGTGTCTGTTGCAGGGAGAAGAAGGGAAGGAGATTGTAAACCACTCTGAGACTCTGAAGGGCAGGGTATAAATCCAATCTCATCTCCTCATCTCCTCATCTCCCCCTTTTCTCCAATCTCCTTTCCTCTTCTCCCCTTTTCCTCCCATCTCCCTTTATCCTAACAGCAATATTATCAAGTAACTCTGGCTCTCATTAACAAGGTATACAATTATGTTTCCTCCAACACATACTTTTTCTGTTTTATGCCTTACCACTATTTGAGTGAAATGAGCCATTTTTCCATTCTGCTGGAACAAAGAGTACTGAGAATACTTGTACTGTGTCAGTTCAGTTCTATGCAGAGTTGCACCAGCCTTTTGTCCACCAAAATCAATGGTCTTAGACTGAAGTAACTCTGCGTAGGATTGCACCGTGTACCTAATGTGCTCACACAGAAATAAGTGTGCCCAATAATAACCACAGTGACTGGGAATCTGATAACCCAATTGAAAACAGTAGGGCTATTCCAGTGTACGAATGCTAAAACAGCTAACCATTAATGTCTACAGATCATTAAGCAAGGAATAACTTGAAAGAACAGCAGTTTAAAAAGCATTCATGTGAACAAACAAGTTTTTGACTGGAAATACTTACATCTTGGTTAGACATCTCCCAATATGGCCTTTCTCCATATGACATCACTTCCCACATGACAATCCCATAACTCCATGTATCACTTGCTGAAGAGAACTTCCTGTAGGCTATTGCTTCAGGAGCTGTCCATCTTATGGGAATTTTTCCACCCTGGAAAACATGTTGAAAAGTCCTGTTTATAGATCTTGTTTTTAGGTCTAGAATTCTGCTGCCCCATGGCATTGACTAAAAAATGTGAAAAAATAAATGGAGTATATCCTCGGGCAGAATTATTAACTTTCTCCCATGATCAGTTTACTAATATGACACTGCTAGAATGATATCATAATTGAGATCCAAAATCATCTTAGCCATTTTAGACATTTTAAGTTCCTTACCATTCATATAAATAATGAGACTGCATCTTGTGAAATATTTAATAACTTTCAAGTCATATCTGAAAGCTCATTAAACAAACAAGAAGCATGCTAACTGAAGAAACAGAGCACACTGAATGGAGTGGAAATTATTACCTTTTCCCAGGGCTCTTTTTGTAGCAGGAGCTCCTTTTGGTAGAAGATAGGTATAAAGTTCATGGTTTTCAATTGTTTAGGGGAAAATTTTGCCGTGTCTGGATCAAAAAGGACTTTAGCTTCATATCAGGAAAAAAAACGCTTTTGTTTGGGGTATAGAGAATCCTTGGCAAATATTATTCAGCTTAGGTTAAGTAGACATTTAGATATTATGTAACCACACCTCTCTTTACATCTGACTAATAAGAGAATTTTTATTCAAATGATGTATAATTCTTTGTAACCAATTATGCTTTTTGGATGTTATTTTCATTATGATGTCATGATGATGTCATTTAAAGTATAACATTTTATGTATTTCCTGGTTGTGCTCAGAAAGCAGTCAACTTTTGATGGGCTTGTTTGGCCTAACTGTTTTCAAGTGTCTTGATTGCAATAAAAACACTAAGATCTTCCTCCTCATTTTGACTTCAATTTGGACTGGGAATTTATTTCTATAACATACTTACTTGGACTTTCAAAAGGCTTTTGAAAAGATAGCTCACCAAAGACTCCAGAGTAAACTCAGGAATCATAGGATAAGAGGACGGGTTCTCTTATGGATTAAAAACTGGCTAAATGACAGGAAGTAAAGAGGTGGAATAAATGGAGAGTTCTCACAATGGAAGGACGTAAGCAGTGGTGTTCCATAAGGATTGGTCTTGGGGGTGGTATTATTTCATTTGTTCATAAATGATCTGGAACTAGGGGTTGAGTAGTGTAATGAATGTGTCAACCCAGTGTGCCACAGTGGTGAAAAAGGCAAACTCTATGCTGGGGATTATTAGGAAAGGGACTGAAAATAAAACGGTTGATAATGCCCCTGTTTAGATCTATGGTGCAGCATCATTTGGAATACTGTGTGCAGTTCTGGTCACTGTATCTCAAAACGACATCACAGAACTGGAAAAAGTACAGAAGAGGGCAACCAAGATGATTATGAGAGTGGAACACCTTCCTATGAGGAAAGGCTGAAGAGAGTGGGACTTTTCCGTTTAGAAAAGAGATGACTAAAGAGCTTAATAAAATTATGCCTAGGGTGAAGAGAGTTGACAAAGAGAACTTTTTCTCCCTCTCCCAAAACACTAGAACTCAAGGGCATTGAATGCAGATGTGACGGATAGCACAGAAAGGCAGGCTTTTTGTATCAGAGGGTCAGGGAGTTCAAGAATTAATCTTCCCTGGAAAGAGGAGCTTAGGTGATTGGCTGCTCTGTTCACTCTCTAATTGGCCTGCATCAGCTGAGAGAGAAAATCAAATAGCTGATTGGGAGGGGAAATAGGTCTTCTGCCTTTTGGTCTTTTTAACATCTGGATCAGTAGCCAGAAGGTTTGGCTTCTGAGGGAAGAGACATTTGGGAGTCAATGTTTTCTGACAGGCAATAGTAAGAAAAGTACTTCTACAGAAAGAAGAAGAGAAACCCCATTATCTTAGAAATATTAAAATTGCTCTGAGGGAGAACTTTAAATTCTCAGTCAGCAAAGCCTTATACAGACAAAGGATACTGCAGAAGGATTTGGCAGAAGGTCTGGGTAGTTAGAGAGAACTCCCATACAAGCCAAATAGTAACAGGAGTTATAACGTCTTAGGGACAAGGAGAATAACTCCCTGCCAGTGAAAGGGGTTGGGAAGAGAACCCTGGTCTGTGATAAAGGGGAGAAGCTTCGACACCTCAGGAGTTAGTGAAAAGCTGTAATATCTACAGGAAAACCTAGAACTCTGAAGGAAGAAATCTAGAAACAGCAATAAGAACTGTGCTGAATTATACTAAACAAAGTACCTATGTCTTTCTTTGAAAGACATAGAAAGCCTTGAAACAAATTACAAATGCACTCTGTTGAATTTCTAATAATTCAGCTCTGTAAATATTAGAAAGTTTTTACCTCAGCAATCTCAAAACCTTGACTATTCCATTTATACATATATTCCCTGCCTGTTTAATAAAATCTTTATTCTGTTTTTGAAAGTTAACTTGCCTCGTGCCATTTAATAAGAACATAAGAACATAAGAGATGCCAATGTTGGATCAGGCCAAAGGCCCATCCAGTCCAACACTCTGTATCCCACAGTGGCCAGAAGTCTTTTATGACTCAAAGAATATATACATGCTACTGTAGGGCAACTCAGTCTACTGAGGGGAACTGAAGATTTGGCGGAAAAAATCTGCCAGAGTGTTGGGGAGATACAGGGGTTCATCATAGAAGTTGATAGGCAGTAGCTTCAGGACGGACAAAAGAAAGTGCTTCTTTACACAATGATTTATTATAATGTGGAATTTGCTGCCAAAGATATAGTGATGGCCACAGGTACAGACAGCTTTAAAAAGAGATTAAACAGATTCATGGAGGATACTAGCCCATGGACTAAAGGAAACCTCCATGTTGAGAGGCAGCCAACCTCTCAATCCCAGTGCCAGGAGGCAACATCAAGGGAAGGCCTCAGTCTCTATGCCCTGTTGTTGGCCCCCCAGAGGAACTAGATGGCCACTGTGTGAGATAGGATGCAGGACTAGATGGACCACTGGTCTGAATCAGCAGGGCTCTTTTTACGTTATCTTTTATTTTAAAATGTGCATACCTATCACCTTTTCAGAGATAGGTGGACACACAAACAGTTTATTCTACTTGATTGTCTCACAAAATATGGCAGAGAGGAATTTTCAGGTTGGCTCATCTTCTCCATAAAGATCAAGTGGGCTTTGTGAAGCATAGTTCAGGTCAAGTGAGACTGTTATTGAATATAATGGTAAGTACTGAAAAACATTCTCTTCCTGCGAGAGTACTTCCAGTGGGAAGGCTTCTGATACACTTAATTGATTTTATTTATTATGAGCCCATGCAAAGTTTGTAATGCCTAAATATTTCATTGCCTGCAGTACTACTCTCTATAGCAGCAGTTCTCAAACTTCACCAACACATTTTACCCCCCATTCTCCAGCATTATCCACACAAGGACCACCCCCAGCCCTTCCCTCCTTCCATACCAGACATATCACACACTGTAAGCCCCATTTGAAAGTATGTTTAGCAAGTTACATATACCTAGGGAGACCATTGGCCTGCTTATATTGGGAGGCCTCCCGATGGTTGGCCCTCCTCTTGCCCTTGCTCCTCTGAGTAGTAGGAGAAAAGGCCTAGGCCAGAAAAAACATTCAGTGAAGAATGACATCACATCTGCCTGCTCTGGCCATCCCTGAGTATGGGGATGAAAATGCAGAAGATGGAATGTCCTAGAATGTCTTGCAGGACATTCCATTGCTGACCTAAGCCTGGCAGCCCTCAAACAGAGAAGCTTCACAGGGAGATTACAATGAGAAATTGCTGAACTTGAGTTCATTCACAAATTCCAAACAATGAACCCGCTAATGCTGCATAGGGACACAGGATTCTTATCTGACTACACATGCTAATTTTCGACCCCTAAGCATTTCTCCCCTGCTTTGATCAATCACATTTTGCATTGGATACCTACATCCTGACTCTTTTCTTTGCAACACTTCTCCCGCCTTCAGATTGAGATATAAGAACTCATGGATTTCCGTTTATACTTGTACCTGATGAAATGGGATTTGACTCTTGAAAGCTCATACCTTTTTGTCTCTAAGGTGCTACTGGACTGGAATCTAGCTACTCTTCATCTTGTTCTATTTGTAAATCCTGATTTTTTCCTGAATAGCAAAGATATTATCTATACTTTTGTTTGTTTATGTCTTGTGGTGCTTTAAAGACGAATTTATTTATTTATTTATTTATTGAACTTTTACCCCATCCTCCCCGCCAAGGCAGGCTCAGGGCAGCTTCCACAAAACTGCTAAACAGTATACATTTTACAATTGATAAAATGAAGTAAATGATTTAAAAACACAGACAAATTAATTTAAAACATCACTTCGATGGCGATAAAAATAAAGTGCAATTTAAGGACACATTCAGTGGTGCCACTGCGCTAAGTCGTGTTGGATTGGAGTTAATACAGGGCGTTGCTGGGAAGATGCCACTCCTAACGGAATGCCTGCCAAAAAACTCTGTTTTCACGGCCCTGCAGAACTGTGACAGGTCCCACAGGGCCCTGATCTCAGCAGCTCGTTCCAATAGGACGGAGCTACAAACGAGAAAGCCCTGGTCCTAGTTGCCATCAACCTGACTACTTTTGGGCCAGGGTGGTCCAAGCGGTTTTGGGATCCTGATCGCAGTGCTCTCTGGGGAACATGCGGGGAAAGGCGGTCCCTCAGGTAGGCCGGTCCCTGACCAACTGACTAACAGATTGATTGTGGCATATGTTTGCATGAACTAGAATCCACTTTGATGGATGCCTGAAGTGTGAACCTTAGATAGCAGATACATACATGGGTATAAAGGGAAAAAATGAAACCATGAAGCCAAAATGTCATGAAAGGCAAGAGATGCAGCTTGTAACATTTCTATTTAAAGCTGAAATGTTTCCTTTATTTTTGAGAACGTATCTCAAAATGAAAAAAAACACGAGTCATATTCCAAGAGCTTTTGTATTCATGCATTGTGATTAGTTCTGTCTTTAATATTTGTACTGACCTTGTCAAATAAAAAACACAACAGTAAGGAAAAGGGGGCAGTCAGATTA